GCCCGGGGGTTAACCCTGACCTCTGTGTCCGACACAAGAGTGATGTAACTGACCACTGGGACAATGGGTCGTCCACGATGACACAAACTGAACCGAAAACTGGAAAATAATCTGAACTGAATTGTATAAGGATAATGTGTGGCTACTCGAAAGTAAATACCCCAAGGCCCATTCTTTTGTTGCGTTCACCACATCAATAACAAACTCAACAATCGTTTGATTAAAGCATGTATATCCGATACATAGTCTTCCTTGTATTGAATATACTGCAGTGAGAAGCCTTGGCCATGGCTAAGTCCTACATGTCCACATATAGTAAGCGACCGCCCATTTTTTATATACAGACAGACAGACAGTTATTCAGTAATTTAGTCAAGGCCCATAGTACAATGCAGATTGGATATTAGCATTTGTCACGTGATGTACATGATAAGATTTTAAATCTAATTACACATTCCTCATTTTAAAGACATGTTGAACAGCCTTGATCATATAAGGATTTTCAGAGTTTAGTAGATTTATCATTAACTGACCGTCTTTAAAAATACCTTGCAACATGGAGAGAAATTTATACCTTAAATGGGAATACGTTTCACATATAAGTAAGACATGGTATTCATCCTCTACTTCTCCGGATGAACAGTTTGTACAAATAGAGCTCGCAATATCACCGTCTTTGGACCTGCGACATACATTCACATTAAAATTGTCTAATGAAATTCTAAGTTTACAATAAGCTCTTATTAAACTTTTATCATTTAAATGAGTTAAATATCTTTCAGTTTGTAACAATGATTTTACTTTGCTGTAATTGCTAAGATAAAGTGATTCAGAAATACTTTGGTGCCACTGTTGACAAAATATATCCTTTAGTCTTTGCTTAAATGAATATAAAAATAACTGTGGATCTCCCACATCTTGGGAAATCCATACCTATGAAAAGCCACCAACAAATAATAGATTTCTCACATCTGAAACCCAATTATTTTTATCATTATCATCAAGTACCTTTAACATTTTGTAACACTGATATGGATATCTATAAGGCATCATTCTAAATAATTTAATCCAATACTTAATTACCCTTAATTGGCTGGCTACAAAAATATTACAATGGCCTGTTTCATCAAGAATTGCCTTGTTTGAGGCAAACTTACCAACACCGAGAAAACATTTGAAATATGAAGTGTGAACTTTTTCAATTGCAGTGTAATACTTAATACATATTTCAGAACCATAGAAGAGTATATAGGCATAATTTTGCCTTCAAAAATGGTACATGCTGTGAAAAAAGACACACAACTATTTTTCGTTAAAAAAAAAATAAAGAGGCATAATGGCTTTCGATGCCTGAGCAGCTAATTACTTACATGCCATAGACCATGACAATCTAGAGGAGAACATAAGACCTAAATATTTATAGTAAGTGACTACACTCAAGGCAGACGAACCAAGAAGCAACAATACCACCTTTTCTAAAAACTACAGCATTGGTGTTATTCAGATTTACTTCAAGACTATAGCATTGGTTTTATTCAGATTTACTTCAAGACTATAGCATTGGTTTTATTCAGATTTACTTCAAGACTACATCATTGGTTTTATTCAGATTTACTTCAAGACTACAGCATTGGTTTTATTCAGATTTACTTCAAGACTATAGCATTGGTTTTATTCAGATTTACTTCAAGACTACATCATTGGTTTTATTCAGATTTACTTCAAGACTTCAGCATTGGTTTTATTCAGATTGACTTCAAGACTACAGCATTGGTTTTATTCAGATTTACTTCAAGACTATAGTATTGATTTTATTCAGATTTACTTCAAGACTACAGCATTGGTTTTATTCAGATTTACTTCAAGACTACCGCATTGGTTTTATTCAGATTTACTTCAAGACTACAGCATTGGTTTTATTCAGATTTACTTAAAGACTACAACATTGGTTTTATTCAGATTTACTTCCAGACTACAGCATTGGTTTTATTCAGATTTACTTCAAGACTCGACCCGTGAAGATCCGGGGTAGAATAGGTCTTCAGCAACCCCTGCTTGCTGTAAAAGGCGACTATGCTTGTCGTAAGAGGCGACTAACGGGATCGGGTGATCAAGCTCGCTGACTTGGTTGATACATGTCATCGATCCCAATTGCGTGGATCGATGCTCATGATATTAATAACTGGATTGTCTGGTCCAGACTCCATTATTTACAGACCGCCGTCATATAGCTGGAATATTGAACAACAAACAAACCAAAACCAACTACTTCAAGACTCCATTTTGAACAGTATGCGACCGTCCATTTCATTTTCGCTGGACATGGTGAAAGCCTGAGAGAAAACATAATGTGTGAAACAAAATAATGTTCCAGAGGTAAAGGCAACAAAGAGTACATGTCTTTGAACAGTGAACAACATATATACCAGCCTAAAACAGTTAAAGATTCTGAAGTTCTCGTGAAAATCATTACACGAATGAGAATAACCAATTTTAAAGGGTTCATGATCTAGCTTTGTTATAGATATATACATTCATTAAAGAAAAAAAAAGTAATTACACGATTGCAGATGCATTCTTGTTTACATGCTTGGTCCTTTCGCACCATCGCTGAGTTCGTCAATGCAAAACTGTTACCAATATTTAACATAAATTCACTGAGACGCATCGTCGAGTGAACATTGAAAAACGTATATAGAATCCAAATGGATTAGGATCTATCCTAATAATAATCGTGATGTAATTGACAAAACAATCATGACATCATGGAATGCGAAAGCAAGTGACGTCATGTCAAACAAGGTATCTTAGGCATCAACCCCCAAGGACCTGCACACAAATACCTAAACGAAAATCCCCCTGCGTGCCACATGTCAATATATCATATAAATAGGGGGGCGTTTCCCCCAATTTAAGATAAAATGTCTATGGGTCTGCATGTAAAGAGATAAGAGTTAAATATTTACTTTTTATTTCACATAATGCATTCCCGATATCAACATGACATTTCTATGGCTTCTATACACATCTGTCTATCGTTAATGCATTCCCTTAGATTAATATGGCATTCCTATAACTTCTATATAGATCCGGGGTAGAATTGGTCTTCAGCAACCCATGCTTGCCATAAAAGGCAACTATGCTTGTCGTAAGAGGCGATTAACGGGATCGGGTGGTCAGGCTCGCTGAATTGGTTGATGCATGTCATCGTATACCAATTGCGTGGATCGATGCTCATGATGTCTACACAGGATTGTCTGGTCCAGACTCGATTATTTAAAGACCTCCGTCATATAGCTGGAATTTTGCTGAGTGCGGCGTTAAACAACACACAAACATATAGATCTGAACAGATCTGTCTAACGTTAATGCGTTCCCGTGGACCAATATGGCATTCCTATAGCTTTTATATAGATCTGTACACGCCTGTCTAACGTTAATGCATTCCTTTAGATCAATAAGCCATTCCTGTAGCTTCTATATAGACCTATACAGATTTAATTTAATGCATTCCTGTAGATCGATATGCCATTCCTATAGCTTCTATATAGATCTGTACACGCCTGTCTACCGTTAATGCATTCACTTAGATCAATATGACATTCCTATAGCTTCTATATGGATCTGTACACGTCTGTCTAACGTAAATGCATTCACTTAGATCAGTATATAATACCTATAGCTTCTATATAGATCTGTACAGATCTAACGTTAATGCATTCCTTTAGATCAATAAGCCATTCCTGTAGCTTCTATGTAGGTCTATACAGATCTAATTTAATGTATTCCTGTAGATCGATATGACATTCCTATCGCTTCAATATAGATCTGTACACGTCTGTTTAACGTTAATGCATTCACTTAGATCAATACGGCAGGCCTATAGCTTCTATATAAATCTGTACAGATCTAACGTTAATGCATTCACGTAGATCAATATGGCATTCCTATAGCGTCTATATAGATCTGTACACATCTATCTGACGTTAATTGATAATCTTTTCAAAACAGTTTCGTCCACTTCATATTCAACACTGTAAAGAAAAGATGTACGCAAACCGGACAACGTATTCCAGTTATTTCAGTGTTCTATCTGTTACTGCTTAAGTGTTAATGGCTATACAAGAGATAGGGTTATATGATTTACTGTATATATGCACGTTATCGACACTACATATGCATGCCACTATACTACTGAAGGAACAAAGTACCAGTGCATTACACTTTGAACTGTTTATTTTACACTCACACATGTTACAGCAACATTTGACATTGTGGCATTGTGTATTCATAACATTTGACAGTCCATATAGGGAGTATGTCACGGAGATGGCATGTTTGGACTGGACAAATATTAGACATTGAAATCTTTGTAACTTGCTTAAAGCTCAATATTATACACAGTACAAATCAATAAAGAAACTTACATATATTCAGGGAGACTATACAAAGACGACATAGACTCCCTGATATGTCGTAGGCAATGCAACCGTAAACCGTTTGTTCAAGGCATCAGATAGATTCGATACAATCAGAGAACACATACCGGTCTATGGTCTCTGGTACAAAATATCTCAGGTTCATATTAATGTACCAAACAAGAAAATTGTTTTCCTCTGTATACAGCTCTATCGATGTCATGTCCAGGTTCAGGTCCTTGCAAATACAGGTTGTTGATGTTTAGAAACATGGAAAACCCTTTCCATCAAAACATTATACATTGTACACGCACACACACGCGCATATAAGTTAGACTTTATGACTGTTATACAACTGTTTATGTACATTTGATATTTTGACACGAGATCCAAACCACACCACCGCCTCCTTCACCTCCACACCACCCTCACTTCACACGCACAACAGTACGAACGCACACGCACGCACGCACGCATGCATGCACGCACGGACATGTACACAACCCAAACTCAATCCCACCCAACCCAACCCAAATCACACACATGCGACCCCATTCCCGCCCCGACTGGCCACCCCAAAGTCTACTTCTTGGCTGCCTTCTTCTTCACCGCCGCCCGCTCTTCTTCCAGCCTCTTCAGTTTCTCCTCCCTCACTTGGAGCTGGTGCTCCGCCTTCATCTTCTTGATGAAAAGGCGACGTTTCTTCTCGTCCTTGACAGCTTTGTGCTTTATTTCTCTGTCCAGTTGTTTCCTCTGGACTTGTTCTACCAACCTGTTTAGAAATGGTGAATTAGATCGTTATGAAATTGGGAGATCAAGACAAATTCATGTTTAGTAATGACACGGTTTAAGTGAATTAAGGTTTTTAAGTTCTGAACATACCTGTCCAGCCTGTATAGATCCGCATTCTGTCTCCTCCTCTCAGCTGTGTAGAAGCATCGCACTGGGATTTGCTCCAGACGTCGGGGAGCTCTGCCACGGGGAACAACCCCCTCCACTGCGGGGACAGAGAAGGCAACTCCTCCGCTGGCCTGACGGTCGGGGACCAAACCCTCATCTCGTAACTGTTGAAGAATCTCCGTCCCTGACAGACGGGATGTTGGCGGTGTCACCTGACACTTGGCGTAGTACAGCTCGCGAGGACAGTTGATCTTGCCCGTCAGAGCCTCCTCGGGAGATGTCTGCTTGAAAGTCTTAACCTTAGTCTGTTTGCATCCCATTTCTGGCAGCAAGATAGCATCGGCACTTATAAAACACTGCTTGACTGCGATCTAGTGGGAAAGACAATGACGTGACGTCATAATTTCATGACGTCACAGACAACGAAAATCCCCCTTTTATGGGTATGCTGGTTCCCGGATCACTCTGCGCGTCGTCAACTCGAAGAGACGGCGCTCGGCTTGCCTTCCGAGACAACGGTTCCATTGTATTCCGCTTCAGAATGTTCTTTACATGTATATATTGGATTGTTGAGAACTGAGGAGTAGAAACACACTGGTGGAATGCTGTATCGAAACTGATTTTAAACGATTCTTGAAATAAACTTAACTTTACGCGTCACGTGACATGCATAAATGAAGGGCAAATGACTGCCATCGTATTCCTGAATATATAAGCTTCACAAGAAATTAACATTACAATGTTTGCACGTTCGAAAAACGTTTCTTGAAGAATGTTTCTTGTTTTTATGATGGTGGCCATTTGTTATTCTATGACGGGGGGAGACGAACAATTTATACATCTTCGGTCCCCAACTTATGATTTTATCATTTTATTTTATTTTAAGCTTTTATCACATACAGGGAATCGCCGTGAGATCACGGCGAGTCTGAAGCCTGGTTTAGAAACTACAGACAACATCGGGATAGAACCACCGTTTGCCACCTTGTTAATAACAAACACCAGAAGGTCGGCGCCATGCGCATAGACCCAAACAGGCAGACCGACAGATAGAATTTTTACAATATGTAGGCCACCAACCCATTCTACAAATTACCGTAATTAAAGCAGCTATCTTGGATTTGTAAGGATACCTTTTCCAAATTATAATCATGATCATAATAATTGCTCTTTGAATAAACATGACATTTACATAGATCTGTTGTACCTGGCAAGGAAACGAAGAGCCCAAAGACTCTATGCCATGGTCCCCAAGTTGCCAAGATTTGTTTGCACAAATAATTTATCCATATTGTACCATCAATCGCCTGTATTATCCGTGTCCTTGCATCATTTACACTCTGTAAACAGATGACCTTATTAGTGATCATAGTCAAAGACCACAGTCGGCCGTGCCAATAACATATGATCGTGGGTTCGAATCCCGGTTCACTCTGGTCATGTTCTAGGTTTGTCAGCACCATACCCGTGCTCGTCCGTGGGTTCCAACAAAGTGGTTAACGTTTTAGACTGGCATCACTTCGGACTTTCCTCCCACATAAAGCTTACATGCCGTGATATGACTGAAATACTGCAATACAGTTCCAATACCCGGTATTTCAATATATTTCCGTGGAATGTATCTTGTGGTTATACCATATCTGGACATGCGCAAATATCTACTTCCTGTTTCTGACGCATCTTGACATCCGCGTGCCTGTGTGCAGGTTCAAAGATGGTTTATCTGTGACAAATGGAGCCGAACAATGGATGTTTTGTTTCCAGGTTTCGATCCCAACTTATGATTTTATCATTTAACTGCGAGATGTACCTGTAAATAACACAGGCACATTTTAATCTTAATGTCACAGCGTTCCGGGTCAAGATGACCACACGTAATGTTTATGGTATCGTGTGCATAGTGTAGTGCAGTCAAGACATGGGATGTTTAAGGCCAGTACACTGGAATGTGTGAACAGAGTGTGTGTGTATGTGTGTGTGTGTGTGTGCGCGCGTGCATGGATACCCCACGCAGACACATTATACTGAATCGGGGTCGACCAGTCCTTGTTTTATGAGTCATAGCTTATGTATTACACTTGAATACAACCTCCTTGCAATGCCATTGACTTTCTACTCTGGAGTGACCTGGTAACACGTGTCTCCCGCATGTTTAAATAGAGATATGTCCTATCTTGGTACAGTCAGTGATCAACAAGGTCTATTAAAGGGGCCGATTTTCAGTTTAAGTCTATACACGTTGTAATATAGTGACTGTTTTAAATTGGAACATTTATCTTTAGCTTAATCATTAACTGTGACATTGGTATACATTTGAGCTAACGGGTGGTGTGAAGTGGTGTTTGAACGATATAAACCAAACTGGATGGGACTGACAATTTCTTGGAGCCGAGTCCCCCTTTAAGGCCTCTTCACTGTTCGTGCATGGGGTTTACACAGAGGGGTGACTGGTTATAGCCCTTAAAGCGTTTTCTCACCACGCCGAAAGCACGGGGTCAATTACCTATAGTGGGTTCTGCCAACTATGTGTGTCCCCCGCCGTGATACTGGTGGAATATTACTAAAACAAAAGGCGTAGACTCGTCTTCACTCGCTCACAGGTAGACCCAGTATACCTCGCAAACTACAACCATAGTGAGTGAGTGAGTGAGTGAGTGAGTGAGTGAGTGAGTGAGTGTTCTTCCATTGCCTGTGAAAACACACGGTCGGTATACGGTGTTGTCTTGACGCCTATCAAAACTCTATCTGAAGTCAAGCAGTGAAATGAGGTCGTCTAATTCTCGTGAAAGTCAAATTAGCCCTTCTCCGTGCAGGAATTGAGTGCCAGGCCTATACCTTTGCGGGATATTCAAGCAATGTCTATAGAGTAGATGTTCTCAAAGCTGTGACACATGGTCTGGGTTCTCATTGGTCAGAGCTCTCGCTGGTTTCTCTCTCGCCGGTACACGGCTGTGACTTGATTCGTCGTTAGAAAACAGCGACTTTCTACATTGCACATCTTCCCGAGGCAAGAGAGTTAACTGACTATAAAAGTCCAGTTTCAACCCTTGCCGAACTAGGCTGGAATTCCTGGGTTCTATCGCAGCGCCACCAGTGGCTATTACGAGTTATGTCCCTTCTAAGCTTCTCCTATAGACCAATCAGATTCCACCTCTCGTATCACTTGCATTTGCTTCAAACAAAACAGTGGCTGCCAGTCAAGACGATCTGATCGATAATCAAGGTCTATACTGTAATCAAACGGGTCTTACTTCGTGAAATGCATCAACTCACGTGAGCACCTTGATTAAAACATGAAAATATTTGGAAAATATCTGTTGACAATGAGTTGGCGGTGCACATGCTTTGCAACTACTGCAATCGACCGAAATCTGCACGACAGTTTACGAACCGGATTTCGATTTCGTTGCGCGATTTTGATTGGACTATGCATAGACTCGTTAGTCCAGCCAAAATGTAACTCCATAATACCTGCCTAGTTCGGCAAGGGTGGAAACTGGACTTTTATAGTCAGTTAACTCTCTTGCCTCGGGAAGATGACATTGCAAATCACTGGTTATTGCGGACGGTAGCGTCAGGCTACAAACACTCACTTTTTATCTACATTGTGTGAGTGGCTAGTGCATGCTACAGGTAGGGCAGGACATTTTCATCGCTATTTTGCCTGTTACACCCAACGAAGTCAGTTTCAGATCATAATCGAGACAGGTTATTCTCGTTTCACGTTTTATTTTTACAACCCCGTGTAATACTGCATGATGATGATATTTATGCAAATTGTGTGAATGACTGGTGCTACCGATAGCGCAGGACACTCTTACAGTTTTCGCGTAACACCTGGTGTCATCACTGATTTTCAGTGATCCATTCACATAATGCTCATCACTATTTTCCCTGTTACGCCCAGTGGAATCTGTTTCGGCACATAACCGAGACTGGTTATTCTCAGGCGTTGATATTTTATATTTACAATCCCGAGTATGAGGCAATCTCATTAAAATCAGATCAGGTCTGATTTTAATGAGATTGGATACTGAGGACGATACTGTGACCATCCAACACTCATTGCTCATCTGCTTCTACCCTTCTTACATGCTTTCATGGTCAGTGGTACATTTCCCGTGAAAAACTCCTGGAAGAAAATGGTAAAGAAATCCATTCATGACCATAAGAAGAAGGAATGGAATACCCGAATATCTCTAGATCACTGCCTTAAACATTTCAGGAAAATCCATTCCACCAGAAAGCCCCACCCTGCCTGTTTCATAGCAAAAGCCCACCAAAACATTAAGAAACAGTGTGCGTTCATTGTTCACTTATGTGCCCTCTGGAGACCTGGCGTTGTTCAAGGAAGCTGCTTTCTCTGTGGTCTACACTACGACGACCTTCTAACACACGCCCTGTGTCATTGTGAGACTTTCAGCATGTATCGAGACATGCTGTGGTGTGACATCATCAACATTGGTCCTGTGGAACTCAGTGTCCATCTCAAAGATACATCCGACACTGATCTTGTCTGCAGTCTCCTGTCATGTCATCCTCCTGTTTCCCTGTCCAATGAGGATCAAGAACTGTTCCAAATATCTGTGATAACCAGACTATATGATATGTGCAACTTCTAAAGTGACTTAATCCATGTAAAATCTCTGCTTTTCACTGTTAACTTATAACATGTTTTGTACTCTCCTATGGAGGAATAAAAGTATATATATTAAAATCAGATCTTAGTTCTCGCTACCGCTTTGTTTAGCGGTAGCGAGAACTAAGGTCTGATTTTAATGAGATTGGATACTGAGGACGATACTATGACCATCCAATACTCATTGAGTCGACTCTATTGACATGGAGGCATGTATAGGGCACCTATACCCCTGGTTTACCGTATAGTTAACACTTTCATCACAGGCCGCCATGACATAACTATCTATGTTATACAGGCTAAGACGTGAGGCCTGGCTTTGTGGGGATTTTGTTTTGGTATAAAACAAACAACTATATTTGTTTTTTTCAGTTTTCGAATTTTGAGGCCGGCGGATCCGTGTACCTGACGCGACCAACGGGATAGGGTGGTCAGGTTCGCTGACTTGGTTGATGCATGTCATTGATCCCAATTGTGTGGTTCGATGCTCGTGATATTAATCACTGGATTGTCTGGCCCAGACGCGATTATATCTGGAATATTGCTGACTGTGGCGTTAAACAACCAACCAACCAACCAGCGACTCATGTTACACAGTCGCTACGTCCTGGCCCTATTGTACAGGACGTGCTTTGGGGCACATCGCGTATGATTTGATTCAATATCTGTTTAGAATTCACCGTCATCAAGTGCATGTATGGAGGTGCTGTTCCACAGCATGCATGTCAACTATCCCGTGACACGTGGTTAAATACAGACATCGCAGGCGTAATCAGGATCTACACCGAAACGTCGCCTTCACAGTAATTAAAGAACTTGTTATCCATGAATTGTGTCTACTTTGTCATGGCATACGTTGATGAGAAATACACCATGTCGAGCATAGTTAGTTAGTTAGTTAGTATAAAC